AGCAGGAATCAGGTGGCTTTTAAGCTAGTTGTGTCTGAAAGCTACATGCTGCTTTCTGGTCCTTGGAACGTGAATGAGACGATTGGAGCAAGCCTGCGCCATGTAACAGCCATCACAGCTCATGGTGAAGCGAAGGTCGGTAGTGAAGACCACATGGCAGGAGGACAAAATTGGTTTTTTGAGATATCTTGTACTGGACAGTAAATTAAATGACTGTTTTCCTCAGTCTTTTCAGAGAGAAGGTTATACTCTGTTCTGATTCCTTTAAAAATTATTTTCACATGCTTGAGGGACAGAGGAAATCTCTTAAATTAAATTTCTTCTAGCAGATGAGTGATTAAATATGAATAACAAGGGAAATGAAATTAATATACTATACCTGCACTTTAATGTCAGTAGGGTCTGATGATTGGGAAACGGAAATGTAGAGCCATATTCAAGACAGTTATGTATATGACAGCTCATATGTATATGACTTGTCAAACTTGTAAACAGGTATCCATTTTTGCACCAATTTATCTTCAGTCTAGGTCTATGCTGAGACCCCTGGAGCTCTCCCTGCCTAACCAATCATCCAGTTCAGAGAAGGAAACTTTAAAGAAAGAACTTGACAACATGAGGACCTGCTACGGTGCAGCAAAAGAAGAAATTAGCAAATTGCAGAGAGAACTATCTCACAAAGTATCTGAATGTAAAGCTCTGGCATCAGAGTGCGAAAGAACCAAGACTGAATCTGATGGACAGATAAAACAACTGGAAGATGCTTTAAAAGATGTACAGAAAAGAATGTTTGACTCTGAAGGCAAAGTTAAGCAAATGCAGACCCACTTTCTTGCTCTGAAAGATCACCTGACTAATGAAGCTGCTTCAGGAAACAGTAAGCTAACAGAGGAGCTGAAGGATCAGTTGAAAGAAATGAAAACAAAGTATGAAGGAGCCTCTGCTGAGGTGGGAAAACTAAGGAACCACATTAAGCAGAATGAATTGCTGGTGGCGGAATTTAAGAGAGATGAAGGAAGGCTAGTGGAGGAAAATAAAAGGTTGCAGAAGGAACTTGTTAAGTTGGAGATGGAGCGGGATAAAAGGGGAAGAAATGTCATGGAGTTAGAAGGGCAGCTCAAAGAAACAGCAGCAAAGTTGGCCCACTCTGTAACTTCAGAGCAATTTGAAAACATGAAGAGTTTGTTATCAAATGAAGTGAGTGAGAAAGCAAGGAAGATAGCAGAGATGGAAGGAGAGCGTGAAAAACTGCAGGCGGAGATTCTGCTTTTAAAGAGGGAGTCCGAGAGTCAGAAAGCTAAACTTGCTCAGCATGTAAAGCTGGAAGACCACGAACAAATGAGGAGCGGGTTTGAGAAAAAAAATGAGGAACTCGGGAAGACAATTTCTGAATTATCACAGAAGAATCAGACTCTGCAGAAGGAACTTGAAAGACTGCAGATCGATAACAAGGTGCTTAAGCAGCAAATCCAAATGCTAAAAACTGAAATTAAAAGCCAGAATGTGCCTTTAAAAATTCACGAAGAATTGAAGAAAACAAATGATCTGACTGTTGGTGACCTGACCAAAAAGCTTTTTGAAATAACAAAAAAGTACAATGAAAGCAAAGCAGAAGCTGAAAAGTTGCTGGCAGAGAAGAACAAGTTAAGTGAGAATGTCAGCCACTTCCAAGCTGTGTACCTGTCTCCAGAGCAGCACAAAAAAGAAGTGGAAGCTTTAAAATCTAATGGCATTGAACTTGAAAAGCAGCTTGCTGAGCTTCAGAAAAAATACGATGATGAACAAGCAAAAGCGTGCCAACTAGCGTCTGAAAACACAGTCATAAGAGAGACTCTCAGGGATCAGTATGTGTTGGCTACAACACATGAAGAGATTAAAACAGTCTTGAATAACACACTAGAAAAGACTAACAGGGAGCTGTCGGATCTGAAGGAAAAAACTGAAGAGATAAAGCAAGAATTCATGAGGGTAAATGAAGAAAATGGAACTTTGAAAAATAAGGTGAAACTCTTACAGAATCAGTTGCAAACTGAGTACCTAAGTTTAAAAGATCATGAAACTACAGTGACTACTTTAAATAAAAGCATGCAAGAAGTGCAGGAGAACAATGCTGCGATTATGGCTGAATATAAGAGGGGTCAAGAAGAAATTTTACAGTTGCATGCAGAAATTGAAGCCCAAAAGAAGGAACTTGACACGATTCAAGAATGCATTAAGTCAAAATATGCTCCGATTGCCTCCTTCGAAGACAGAGAGCAAAGCTTTGAAGCCACAGTGAAAGAATTAAAAGCACAGTTGCAGGAACAGGTACAGAAATGCAGAGAAAGTGAGGAGGAAAACAAGAAGTGCAAACAGGAGAATGAAAAACTCAAAAATGGTGTTCTGTCCATCCAAAACGACTTGCAGCAGAACTATATCCTTGCTGAGAAGTCCCGTGAAATGGAAAAAATGTTTGCAAGCAAATTGGAGGAGTTGAATAAGCAATTGAGAGAATTGCTGCAGAAATACACAGGCCGAAAAGAAGAGAGAGATGAGCTGCAAGAGAGTACCGAGCAGCCCATAATTATGCAGGTGCAGCATCTTTCGGTAGAACAGATTGAAGCCTTGAAGAAGGCTCTTGGTCACACTATAGAGGATCTAAAGGAAGCCCTCAGAAGCGAGAAGGAATGTTATGACAAAGAAACACGAAAAGTAGGTGAACTAGAGCAGGAATTGTCGGATCTAAAAAAATCTTCAGTACCTTTAGTAGAATACACACAAATGAAGGAAATGCTAGAACAAGAAATTGTAGCAACCAAAAACAGCTTGAAAGAAAAGGAAGAAGAAAACCAAGTTAAAAATGAGGAAATCTTGAAGTTGCAGTCTGAGGTTCAGCTTGCTCAACAAGCTTTAACAGACCTGGAGAGCAAAGAAGTGATTGATGTATCAGAATACAAGTCCATGAAAAGTACTCTGGAGGCCCAGATCAATAGCATAGCTGAAAATTTGTCCAATATGAATAAAAAGTACGAGGAAGCATGTGAGGAGGCTTTGCAAGCTAAAAAGAGTGAGCTTTCTTTAAAGGATGAAAAGGAGTTGCTTCAGTTACGGAGTTGCAGTATTGAGCAAGAAATCAAAGACCAGAAAGAAAGGTGTGATAAATCTTTGACAACAATTATTGACTTGCAGAAGAGAATACAGGAATCTGCAAAGCAGGTGGAAGCCAAGGATAACAAGGTAGGATGTGTTGGTTAATGCCCTTGACGTTTTCAGTTTAGCAGTAAGGAACTAGACTTCAAATATAGCTACTTTGGTATTCAAGCATGACTCTCTGTACAGAGCATTAGGTACCCAGCACTGGCCCAAATCTGCGAAGGTGGAGCCCTGGTTTTGGTAGTATTATATGAAGTTTTTCTAATTCCTTGTGTGTTTCGGGCATTGTTTGTTGTATTTAAACTCTAAAACTTTCAAGCTGAGTTTCAGACTTCTAGGGTATAAGCTCATTCTTCCATCAATTTGGTGACTTGAATGTTTTCAGTTTACTTTTAAATAAAAAAAAAATGTTCCTGGCTTGGTTTCCATGTGCTGATAAACTATTTCAGCACTTTCTTGTGAAAGATGTTGTTAGCCCGATGTAAGGAAGAAGATGATTTTGTGACCGATTAGCTTTTGAAATACCTAAATGGGGCTTATTATTGATCTTGAATATGTCTGCTTCACTGTAGCAGATCGTTAGCGTGAAAACACTTTCTTACAGTAAAATCTAGGAGTAGGAAACAGTGCTAACTCTGAATCTGGAAGATACTTGACATAGGCATTAGGCACTCCATGTTCTGAGGGCTGTGCTTTGTGTTTATGTTAAATGTATGCTGTTTGCATTGCTTGTTCAGATAGGTTATATTTGCATGAAGTTTAGAGCTGTTATTTGTTTAGCATCTCTGGCCTGGCTTCTGACTGTTCATTGTCCTTTTTAGAAATCAGACCTAGAGTATCTTTAGAGCATTAGTCATTTATGCTGCTGGCTGACCTCCAGGGTCCATACCTCCGACCTTACCGACTTCAATGCTAGGAAGCAGAACGTGAACCAGCGATAGCATGTCATGGAAATGAAGTCCATGAAGTCCTCTATCTTTGCGAAGTCTCTTAGCAGTGTGATGGCAAGCTAGGACAAATACCCTTCGGTGCTTGCTGATCTTCATCAGACTTTAAAAAATGTGGAAGATGATTTGGTTTTGGTAATTTAGAAAATCCTTAAATGAGGTGTTTGTGTGGTTTTTTTTTTTTTAAAGATAACAGAGCTGCTTAATGATGTAGAGCGGTTAAAACAAGCTCTTAATGGCTTGTCTCAACTTACTTACACCACTGGGATTCCCTCAAAGAGGCAGAACCAGCAGGTTGAAATGCTCCAGAACCAAGTGAAAACACTGCAACAACAGCTAGCTGTAAGTAATCATGCAAGGTGGTGTCTGAAATGCAGTAGCACTGATTGCAGTTTCTTGTGTAAAGAAGGTCACTGGAGCACTGGGGTTGACTGTAGGCTTAGACTTCAAAAGTAGATTATTCATGAATTTTTTTATTTTTTGGGAACTTTTCCAGATGAGACACACAAACAATTTAGAGAGAACTTAGCTTACGAGATATGCTGCTAGAGTTCATGCCAAGACCATTTCTGTGTGCAAGTTCCACGTTAATATTTTCTTGCAAAAACCACCAGCCATGTATTTTCTCACTTTGAAAGAAAGCGAGGAGGTCCTTTCTTAGTGGGTTTGACTTTGTGTTCCCTTTTCTGCAAACAGTGTGAAGTCTATTGCTTATCATTAAGTGCTAACAGTAAAGGGGAACACTAAGTACTGTGGTTTTGTGCACAAACACATTTGTGGTCCCTGTGACTTCAATGAAGCTCGTAATTAAAGCTATGTATGTGAGCAAAGGTAGTTATTTGTAAATTTGTACTGAAGTAGGACACATCTTTAATAGTATTTGCAAGGTTGACCCTTATAAGGCAAAGTGTTCTTCAATTGGGTTTTTTAAACAAATAGCTGATGCTGTTGATGAAACGGGTTTTTCATCTCAGCACCTGGGCTGACACACTGCATCAGCCTGTCTCTGACAGCCTTTCAGCAAAATTGCTTTGCTGCAAGTAGGTAATAAAAAAAAGTGAAGCAGTGACTTTTTTCTTGATTAATGGAGGGGATATAGCTAACTTTAACCTTGAAATTCTGCTTTGGCTAGCCTATAAGTGCACAAACCGAAGCCCACGAAGTTGGAAATAGGTATGAGTAGATGTTAAAAACTTGATGACCTCACCTTCTCTTCCTGTCTTCTTTTTATAGGATGCTAAAAGGCAGCATCAAGAGGTAGTTTCAGTTTATCGGACGCACCTCCTTAGTGCTGTGCAGGTACGATAGTCCCAAGTTCAGATTGTTTCACTCTGTCATCTCAATGTAGAGATTCCTGAGACACATTTCTAACTGCCTTACTGGAAGACCTCAAACAAACTTGAAACTAGCATCAAGTACCTGTTTTCATGTTAAGAGTTTTAATTTAGAATGGACTATTCGATGCTCTATCTTTAGAAAGATATAATTTAGAATGGACTGATCCAACAAAAAAGCAAACACATGCCACAGCTGTAGTCTTAGAGTGCCCATTTTCTTACCATTTGTCTACATGTAACTATATATAACAATAACCTGCTTGAAGGGTGATGGTGTCTGGTGATGCGAGCATATTGCTAATTCTGCATCATCCCAGCTAATGCTGGAGAGAAGTCAAGTAGAAGTCGGAAACTTTAATGTGGACTTAACCAGTGGCTCTCACTGAACAAAGAGCTGATCAACTAATTCAAGTCTTGTGACTTCAGATACTTAAGCATACAAAAGAGGGACCCTTACTACAGTAGGGGGCTGTGGAGTCCAGAGGATAGGAACAGGAATTTTTCCCCCATCATATTTTCATAAAAGAAACTGCTGTGTGAGAGAGGCAGACCCTTCTTTCTGTCATGATGAAAAAATAACAGGATTCCTAAAGCATTTCAGATTTTGCCAGAGTGTGGTGAAAATACAGCAATGAACTAAGACTTTTGGGCAATTTTGAAGACTCTCCTAATGTTAGTTCGTATTGGATGGTTGACACTTCATGGCATTTTTATTTTTTCTTTTAACTAAGTGTTTGCTTGCTCCAGGGTCACATGGATGAAGATGTCCAAGCTGCTTTACTACAGATCATCCGAATGAGACAGGGACTTGTTTGCTGACGTGCTTAGTGCCATTGCTCTTGAAGGCTGCTGCATCTTGTAGGAGTGCTGTGATTTACGGTAGTGATAACCTTCATGAGATTTATATAATTATGATAATATAGCTGCAATTAGAACCTCCAAATATGAAACAACTTACAAAGCTGAAATATTTTCTTCTTGTAAAACACTAAAATAGGGCTACTGAGTTTCAGGTCTGACACTTCTTTCATTAGATTAATAAAAGATGTAGAATGTGTTTTAAAACTGGTATGCAAGTTGACTGTCAAAATGATGACATAGTAGTTAAGTTATTTTAATGTCTGATTGACCACTTACTAAAGCAAGGCCTATACCCAGAAACTCCAGTTTATCCTATAATTTAAACTCTAATGGTATGGTTAAAAATAAACTACGTTCAAATGAGCTTGGCTAAGTATTGTAGCTGTATATCTCCTTTAATGAGTAAGAGAAAGTGGCTATTTTGTGATGTAAGCTGATCACGACATACTGCAGTATGCTTAGTAAGTCAGCTGCAAAGGTTAGGTGAAAGGTATTTAGGTATGTGTTGTAACTTGGCTGGCCAAGTTACAGACTTGATTTAGATATAAGCTTAAGATGTAGTGCCTTTGCTTTTTGCAAGACTTAAAAATCAAATTTTCCATCAAAACACTAACTTTTATGTTTGCCTCCCCTTCCCCCCTCCCACAAGACTTTTCATGAATGCTCTGTAATATTGATTACTGCAGGCTACAATAGTGGGATTGGAGTGTCATGGTTTGTAGAGCAGCATTTTGATCTAAATGCAATAGTCCTACTTCTGTATAATTTCATTCTTCGTTAAGCCTAATGTGGGTGTAGACTGAGCAGCTCATTAAGCTGTACGCTAGATAATTCAGGTATTGGATTTTCAAACACTATCTCATGGAAGTTTAAGGTATTTTCCTCTTAACTGTAAATTATGTACTATAATCTTATTTATGGGGAAAGATGCAAATAGTAAGGATTAATGAAATGAGAATTTTTACTTGCTTGGAATCTACCTATTGAACAAGACAGGGCTTCATTTTTAACTGAAGGATGATGTTCCCATAAGTAAGTTTTATGAAAGAAGACATGAAATTTGGGACTATTCAAAGGAAGTAATTGAAAACCGAGCCTAATAAGGTATGTGGCTGTTTTAATAGAGTGAGCGGTGTAAGTGCTATCTGTAGCCGTCTTAACTTCAGTCTGCTTGGTTGAAAGCATTTGCTTATAACTAGCAAGTAGGAACCTGGCATCCTGATGCAGAAAAGACAAACTTCCTCTTCCATTTTCCTGAAAAATAAGGACTTGAGTCAGAGTGCCGAGTTCTCTGCTTTGTGTTAACTGGGCTTCCCAACAAGCTGTACCTCACAGGCTTGGGTCTCCTTTTTTCAGTAGTATTATGTTTGTTTCCTTTTTTATCCCTTTTTGGGCAGTCTTCTTGTAGAATTGAAGAGACAACTGCCACATAGAGGAGGATACAGACATAGTGATGAATGTGCAGGGCAGTTTTTATTATATAAATACACTTAATATATTTACTAAATATGTGTCTGTAGTTAAACAGATCTGCTGCTTTCCTTTAATTTCTTAGAGGACTATTACAGAAAACATCTCAGTATATATATGTTACTTTTTAGCCAAATTCTTTTACGATTGCATTACTTGAAACTCTTAATAGAGAGAATTTGTTTTGATATACTAACTCTGGCATATTTTGATATTGTATGTTTCCTTATTGAGGGAGTTCTATGTATGTTTTTCTAAATTTCTCCTGTATTACATTATCAATAAAATGTTTTCTTCTTTTTTTATTGTAGTGGTCAATTCTGTAAAAGGTAAAGAAATGTAAATAGCTTGGCAAAATAGTCTGGGTAGTGAAGGATATTGAACTCGCTTGAATGCTCTCGAATACCAGGTAACACATTGGTTTTTTTAGATGTCTGGGATTATTGGGTTTTTCTATCTATTTCCAGAGTTTGGTTGGTAAAATGTTGGTGACATTGATCGAGACTCAAAGCTTTTACCAGTTTGTTCTTCAGAGTAAATTGAGTCTGGCCACTTCTACACCAAACAGAGCAACCTGTCTGTTTTGTTGGTTATTAGGTTTGGGGGTGAGCCAGTGAAGTGTCACTACCGCTTTTAATGAAAGCGTATTCACTTAATGGCTTACGCTGCTACCTGATTTCATGCTAAGCAATCTTTGCAGAATAATTTCTTGGCACTACCAAAATCCATTCGTTTGGTGTAACATGAAAGTGAAGGGCTCTCTAATTTCACCATTAGCTTAATTTAATTTTTGGTGGTTGGGATTATCTCATCCAGCCCCTGGGACATGAAAACAAGTAAGGTTGTTAAGTTGTTAGGGTATGAACAGTGTAAGTGAAACTTTACTGTATTTAAACAATGACTGGAACAGTGGTTTCTTCCTTGGATCTTTGAAGGAGTTGCTCGCATTCCGAGTTAGTAAGCAGAAGCTCTCTTTAGGGTTCTTGTAAATCTCTAATTTGACTGGGGCGGGGGAAGTATATGAGTATATATGTGCTTGAGTTTTTTCTGTAGACAAACTTGCACTTAGTTTCTGTTTCAAGACTTTATATGTCTAAAACTTCCCTTTGCTAGTAACTGTGTTCTGTCGACTTCACTGAGTCAGCTAATCTACAGGGTATTGTGAAGTGCTTTTCACTGATAATTTTCTGATAGCTTTATATATTCGCAGGTGTACTATATGGGTATTTTGATCTCCAACCATGTTTCTTCTGCAGAGTGAGGCTAATTATTTAAAAGCTTTTTCAATTATATTTACATCCTCTTCTATTTTTTAGTAGACAAAGTAATTTCTTCCTGCTAGAGCATTTTACTTTTGCCATCTTTGTTTTAAGGCAGAGGAGATTAACATGCTACTTAAACACCACCCTGAAACATCTTCAGAAACAAGCTGCTAGTTGAAAATACTCATTGTTATTCCAGTCTTTGACCCATACCACAACAGCTACCTGGAAATGATGAGGTTGTACGCTTAAGTTGCTTACTGTGTTGAGACTTGATTGTTGTAACTACTGTTCCAGCAGCTTAATTAAAGTGGCATAGATACGAGGTTTCTTATTATGTTAAATGACATCAAGATCACTTTTGCAACTTCAACTCGGTGTCATGTTACTTGAAGCATGAATACGATTACTGGCTTCATCCATTGCAGTACATATATTTTTTTTTAATGGTAATTGTAATTATTCTTTTTTCTATGAAATGTGAATTGGTAGCTGGGGTTGGGAAGCTGTGTGGGTGTGTTGGTGTGGTTGTTTTTCTTTTTTTTTTTTTTTTCCCCAAAGTGTTTCCTTAATACCCTTCTGTATTTCCTGCTAATATGATAGTGAAAAGGAGATAATTAAGATGAGAAGCTGCTACTTCTTAGGGGAGGCGTGCAGAGGGAAACCTGCCAAGCCCAATTGCACATCTTCTGTAGTAACGCTTCAGCTGCACATCAGAAAATGGCTTCCTTTTGGAGGAGCAATGCCACAGAGCTTTTGCCAGCTTGGTGGCAGTAGGCGGTTGTGGAGTTTTAATTGCTGTTACTTTGCCTTTTGCATAACGCTGTTCTTAACAGCAGGATTGTACTTGGGAAGAAAGTCCTACCTGGACTTTCAAGTGCTTACCTGGGAAGAAAGTCCTACTTTAGAAATAAATGCAAGGTAAAGAATGCCGTAGAAATAAGAAACTGAATCTGGCTTTCCTTGGGAACACTGTAATTCAATATTTCATGTAATACATGGTAGCTCAGACTCTTTTGTTACCTTGGTATTGGTGATGCTATAAAATCATAGCATGCAAGGAAGTAAGCTTAACGTTTGGAGTTTTAATAGGTGTGGTTTGTTCAAATACTGTACGAAAAGGGGTGTCTCCAGGCTCAAACTGAATGAACAAGTCCGTTGGCAGTGCTGTGTGTAAGTTTGGGGGTTTTTTTGGCTCAGTTGACTCATGAAGGTAAAACCTGGGCTGTGTCCGTGTTATCAGTGACGTTCCCATGGCAGTCACAGTTCATGCGTTTGGCAAAATCAACCATGAGGTTCACCTGCCTTGTGAAGGAAGCTTTCGGTATTTATGCGTTCATGGACAAACACTGCTGATAAATGAAAGGAAGAAATGGGAGGTCACAAAAATGTCAAACGTAAATGAAATGCGTCTAGGAGGTTTGAGGGGTGCTTCACAAGAGGTGTTTTGTGATCTGTTCCATGAAACAGTAAAGCAACATTAATAAGGTAATGCAGCTTATAATTGATTGTTGGCACAATGTTCCTATTATGTAACAGCACTTTTTAAAGTGAGTATGTGACTTCTTTTTTTGTTTTGAGTAGCTGACTTGGAAATATCTCTGAATCCTGGAAAGTTTATAGAGATTACTGCTTTTTTAATCTAATGCTTGTATTGCTCTGCCAACTCAGAAAATTAACTTTTAATAGAAAAAACATACATGTAATTCAGTCACAGCTATTAGATCAGATGGATTTTACATTAAGTGAAAAAGATGTTGAGCATTTAAGGGCCATTAAATTGTGAAGCTTTTTATTGTTGCACTTGTAGCCTTCAAGCCAGCACTCCGCTGTGAAGAATATTTATTTTTACATTTGCAAAGTATGCTAGATGATGGGAAGGGAATACATTTTAAAGGAAAATAGGACATGAAAATGGGATGTTTTTCCACTTTGTGAACAGCTAGTTTTATTTCATAATAATTAGTTTTACACTTCATTAAATGTTGGGTTTTTTGCTTATATGCTCTTAGAATACAGTGGAGAAGACTTTAAAAATTCTCAGCAGGGCATCGAGTTAGTTTTATCATCTAATGGGGATATTTCAAAGTAAGACAGGATCTTTTTAAAGGTTCCTCATATCTTGAGTGTCAAGCGTTAGTATAAGAATTATTTTGGGTGCAAAGACACTTCTAGTTGGTGTCTTGTCTTGCCATACTAGTTGCTGGAGTTTACCTCTTGCAAGATACTGACAAACTTACAAATGATGAGTACATATCAAGTAAAGTTGTAGTGTGATCAGGTCACAACAGACTGACAAGCGACTCTGCCTTCAAGCGCAAAGGGGCTGGATGGGTAGGAACACTTGTGCCTTTGGATTCTAAAAAAAAAAGTTGTCTATAAACATCATGGCTATGAAAAAGGGTTGATCATCTGACCACACAGATGTATTCCAACTTGCAAATTCCTCTGAAAGTAGCGAAGGATTTTTTGAGGGAAGCAAGGATGGGAGAGGTAAAGTAGACGATCTTTTTGTCAATGAGACATTCACTAGGAAAAAGTAGGAAAAGAAACTTGGGAGGGGGAAAAAAGTGCTGGTTGTGGGGTACCAGAATAAAAACCCTTCCAGAATATGAAAATGGCTCGAGCTTC